ATATATATATATATATATATATATATATATATATATATATATATATATATATATATATATATATATAATGAATACGAAATTCTGCAACATTCTATGTTTTCTGGACCTTCTGGATTAAATTATATAATTTCAAGGTTCAATTGGTTGTACTCTGTTCGCAGCCCCCAACTCGTACATTGCTATCAAAAGTAGTGAGATTGTTGCCGCAAGTTATAGAGGTAAAAGTTGCAGGCGTCTCGTTTCAGTTTTGAGAATCAATTTTATTTTTTATTGAGTCACATTGAGGACATTTTTCGATGAAGCTGGTTCTACATAAATTTCAGTTTTGGTCTCATGTATATGATGCTTAATGTATGGAGTGCTAGAGTTTGTAGTATCACTTCTCACTCTACGCTTAATTCTATAATAAACATTTTTTGGCTTTTTTTACAGTCGTTTAGGGTTTTGATTTGGTACTTTCCATTCAATTGCATTTTCCGAATATTTTCTAGAAAGGTGAAAATGAAGTGGTAACGGTGATTGAAAAGCCAGATGAAAGCGCGTTGTTGTTGAAACATTCCAGTTCGGATATAATTTGTCGCATTGTACTAACTTGTGTCTTGCTTCGTGAAGAGCATTCAGCGGGAGGTTATTTTTGCATATAAATATAAATAAATAATTATATATATACTGTTTTAACGAATGATTTTTCTCAAAAAAATTTCTTTGGCACTTAAAGTCGCATGGAATTTTCCTATTATTCACATTTTTGGAGCAGGCTTTTTTTTTTCGACTGCGAATACAGTTTTAATTCGCTTGTTTAGGTGTAGAGTTAGAAAAAATGTTTGGGGAAAATATTGTCTCAGTTTTAATTAAATTACTTCCTGAACTCTTAATTTATTTAGTTCTGATGTAATCAGTCTTAATTTATTATTACGAATACGATGACTCTCTTCGGTTATTTATGAAGGTTCATCTTCAGATTAAATTTTAACGACGGAAAGTATTTTGAAATCCCAGCACTTCCTCCTAAGAAATATCATTCTCAGCACCTTTATTATTGTTGGATTTAACGCTGTATCCGTTATATCTGCTTACCTCATCAAGCTTATTTTATGAATTTACATGGTTCTCAATATTTTTATAATGGACGAAGTGGTAAAAAGTTGGAATAGGAGTTTTCGAATGAAATTTAAAATTGTTGAAATGGAAGGACAAAATTTTAATTAGTTTTCCAAAATCCAAGTTTCTTAAATGAATTTAAACAATCGATCTTGAGAACCATTTATAGAAGGATGTGTGTGCTCGTTTTTGTAGCTAACGCATTCAACGAAAGGCAGAGTTACCACCATAATTCATTACTTTTCTGCTCTAAGCATTTGACGTGAAATTGGGGAAAGTGAAGGAAATTTCTGGTAACTCAGTTTGCAGAACGGGACATTTATTATATAGTATAATTTAACAAAATGAATACATATAAGAAACTTCAAGATTGCCGAATTTTTAGAAAAATTCAAGTTTTGGGTAGTTTTTATAGAAGGCGAAAGAAGACAGAAAGAATCCCGTTCTTTCTTCTAACTATGAATATCCTGTGTAGAATTTTCGAGTGAATTTGGGATTTCCACTCTTAAGATTTGAAGGTTTTGGGATATTCATCGTTTGTTAATTTGTTTGAATGCGTTTTTCTTTTTTATTATTGCTTTCATTCTTTATCAGAAGGTGATGGAGCTACGGCAGCGGCAGGCGCGAAAGCTGCACCGCCAAAGGATCCTCTGCCGAAGGTCCCTTGCCTGGAAGCGTTGGCTGAACTGAGACACGCCAAATGGTTCCAGGTATGTGTTGTGATTTTTGAAATGGGGTTGGAAAATTATCTAGCAAACTTTCCTACAGCGAGGAATAAATGTTAATTACATGTCGTGGATGTGGATCTCTAGTCAGCCCGGAGTAAGTTACTGCACATTTGAATTCACCACTGAAGGAAATTAGAAATTTTCGCCGAAGTACTGTTTTTCTATAATTTTTTCATTTAATTGCTGGAAATACTAGCGAATTGTGTCTGTTTCGATTGCACTGACTTATGATTCATACCATTATGCACAGGATAGTCTGAAAATCTGAATATTGGTTATTGGGAAATTTTCCGACCCTTGAATTGCTCCTGCACGGTTTTGTTTGTAAGGTCATTGTCACCTGTTTCTGGCGAGAACATTTGACAAAGACTCTGTATATGTCCATTAATCTTTGTGCATACCTTGAATACCTTGAACCATACATGCGCAAAATTCTGTGCTTAATAGAAATTTATTTTTATTATATAAGAGCGCATGTATGCGTTATATGGTTTGATCGGCGAAAAATAATCATGTAAAATATTTGATTTATTTCTTAAGTTGTGGTTCGTATCAGCATTCACGTAAAAAATTTCAAAATTGATTGGAATTTAGGGAAATTCTTACCCATCCAAGTCATTATTATTTCAGGTTAGATGTTCGAACTTGCAATCTGCTGCAATAACATTGCGCATTTTACGAGATGTTCGCCAACGTGTACAAACTTGGCAACCACTGAGAGACTGGGTGAGTTTGCTTACGTTTTGACGACGGACTTCAGAGGGAAATGTTTAGCACAAATTCCGATATTCATAGATACACTCTAATAATGTTTAAGGATAAACATTACGAACTGTTTCGAACGATTCAGTTTATTCTTCTGTTTGCTATGTTGACTTCGTTTTAGGTGACAGAACTGTTGGTTGAGAAAGTTTTATCATCTCTTGGTGCTCCTCTATCTCCTGGTGATGCTGTCCGTCGCGTTTTTGAAGCTATTGCATCTGGTATTTTGTTCTCAAGTAAGCATATTTTTGTTTCACTTGTGAGAATTCAAACCTTGATGCTTGAGAGCAAAGAAAATGGAAAGCCAAAAGTTTTTGCTAACTTGCAACTATATTAACAGTTTAGAATAGGTTTTCGATCACTGATCTGCTTTAATGCTCAACGTTATTATCAACACTGAAGAGGACAGTCCATGGGGATAGTTGATTTCAATTAGATGAGTCGCTAGTTCATATTTTTCATGTAAACTTTTTTATAAATCAATTTTAAAGGTGGACCTGGACTTATCGACCCATGTGAAAAGCAGTCAGTTGATGTGCTTGCGGAGCTTACCGGACAACAGCGAGAAGATATCACATCCAGTTCTCAGCATGCATTACGCCTCATTGCATTCAATCAGATGTATAAAGTGCTCGCAATCGATCGTTTACCCGATATTCGAAATAGCTATGGTAGTAGTAATAGTGGTGCTAGCAGCAGTGGCAGCGGAAATATTTTAAATGATCGCAAACGTCCACGTGATTCTAACGCAAGCCTCGATGATGGTGAGGTTGCCGGTTAGTTTGTACGTCCTTTTGTTCTTCATGTCAGCACAAATTCACATTTTCGTTCTTTTTTTCCGAGATTATCAAATTGTATCTGTCTTTGCATGCTGCTTCCTTCTGAGTCTGCAACATTTAACTTATCATTTTCTTTGGCCAATTTACTTGAAGTTCCTACTTAAATAAAATTCCGGCTTGATTTTTTATGAGTTAAATGACTTCATAAATAAGAAAATGTGATATTGTCGGTATCCATCTCCTAATCTACTTTATTTGATTTTTTCAAAATCCAGTGCACGAAATATTTCTGTACCGTGATTTCATTTCCAGTATTACGTCACCTGGCCAGATATTATCTTTTTACAGCGCAGAGGAAGTAGTCAAAACAACCACTTCCACAACAAATTTAACGCTAGTACTTACTAGTAATAAGAATTAAACTGATTTTTGGATTGATTAGTGGAAGTTGTAGTGATTGTCTTTAAATATGATGAAATTTTAGGTGGAGATTCATTGGTGAAGAGAGTGATAATATTAGGGGAATTTCTCCGTAAAACAGTACCTTTGAATTGTTTATTTGCATATTTTTTGGTATACATCTTCGAAAAGTAACTTTTCAAGTTTAAAGGAAAAATATATATGTCTAAACGGAATTTCGAAGTGATGGATCTCTCATCCATGAAACGTTTGTATAAGCAGCATGCTAAGACTAATTTTTGAACCGCCTAAAACGTTTGGAAAAGGATACTTGTGTTTGGTTCTGGATCGTGATCTACTCTTGATATAGCTTGTTCTTAGTACATCGAGAAATATCAAATTGAACAGAAGCCAGTATACATAGTATTGGTGCTTTGCCTTGATTTTCTGCTGTTGTTCCAAACTTCCAAAAAAAAGCTCCGCCTTCACATTTCTTTTTTTTCCATCCTTTATACATGCTACTGTTCCTGTAAGGAAGCTTATCCTTCACTACGAATCTTGTTACGTAGCGCATCACTTCTATGCTGGTTTTCCATGTTTTGACTTTTTGTGCCTGTAATTTCAATCTTTTCAACGAGTATTTTTTAAATAGATTTTCTGCAAATCGACTTTTAATTTAATAGTTTTATGTCAAGGATTCTTCCATCCAAGTTAATAAGGTTACGCTAAGCGAAGCACATGTTACGGGTAATGCGTATTTTTATACCGCACTGGTTCAAGCTAAAGATTATTTTGACAAAGTATAAGGTTTTTCAGCAAAATTATTATCATCTCATGCCATAAGATTCGAATTTAACACAAAAATCCAGCTAAAGTAGTCAGAATTTTTGAAAAGACTTTGCGTCTATGTTTGTCAACATTTCTATGTTAATCAAAATTTGGTGCTTCCACTATTCTTTTTAGTTTTTGAAATTTAAGTGGAATTTCTATTTTTTGAAATGTCGAAGTCATCGCAATCAATCCCATTCAGGAGATTGTTGGCATACAAGGGAGCACAGTTATTACAGCTTCTAATTCTGTAAGCGTTATCATGTGGGAGCCCTCATGATTTTTAAACCTAACCTGATTCTTACAATTCAGTTTATACGGAATTATCTTGGAAATCTTTGGGTTATTTTGCTGTGTGTTGCTGTTGTGGTGCTAGTATTTGTGTTATTTACTTTGTTTTCGCTGTACATTACATGGGACTTCTTTATTTCAGGCTTGTTCCAGAAAATGTGACAAAAAGCACAGTCGGTTCAATGCATTATTCCCTTTAGAAATTCAACTCGAATTTAAGAAATTCCATGCTTCCGATTTTCTCTAGGCTGAGGAGGGTGGGAGAAAAAAACCTAAAGTTTTCTTTTGTTACTATTTCAAAGTAATATCTAGCTAGGTGAGAAGAAAAAGTTGCTTTTTCAGTACTGCTTCATCAGCTTATCTTTAGTAAATGTTACGCGGGATCTTCCCGAAGTCCATTGTTCGTGCGGCTTGGATGCCCAAATTTAGAAGTTGGCGTTTACAATCTGTGGTATTTTTCTTTCCTCGTGAAATCACACATCTCATTAAATTAACATTTTTTAAAGTTTATAAATCCGTCTGGTGACTTACCTAGAAAGTTACTTTTTTTACTGAACTTTATAACCTTTCGCCTGTGGATATTGTATACCGATCCATGACTTCTTTACTTTTCTCAGTAGATGTTTGCTGCTAATGAGGACGGCGAAGACGACTGTGACGTGGACATCGAAATATAATCCATGAGCTGTGATGTTTGGTTTGACCACTTGGAACTTCATAGTTGAACATTTGAGAGTAGCTAATATTTTTATTATAGATTTGTTTCTAACAAAGGAATTTTTATATGCTCTCCGCCTCATAATGTGCATCAAAAGATTTCTGCAAATGTAAACGAATTGAATTTGAATTGTTTGTTTAGGATACAGAGTTTTTTCTCTGTTTATAGTTTGTCACGTATTTGCATACAAAGCAGACCAGGCAGTCAATCAAGTTTTAAATATTTCGAAAATTTCGAAAAAGTCTTCAGAAATAATATGTAAAAATGAATTGGAGAACAGTCCTGGACGGCTCTAAATTTCTTTTTACTCAGAATGAAGAACTGGGCCTTTTTTGCATAGTGACACAAGCAGTATTCAAGCAGCTGTAATCAAAGCATAATTTGTAAATGCTCTTCCAATTTTCGACAAATTTTGCAAAAAAAAGTGGTGTTATGGAAAAGAAGCATTTAAATTTCTGCACCCTTCGTCGTGCTTCGCGATCATACCTTTTTAAGCATGTTTCGCTGTTAAACAGCTGGATCTCAATGACTTGGAAGAATTAGATTTCACCTTGAATGGAAGGAAGAATGGATAATTTTGTACGGTTATTCCATCCATTTCAGATATGAAGAAAGACAAGAAGGATGATGCAAAGGGTGAAGAAAAGAAAGTGGCTTGAATGCTGTTATTCCCCAGTTATGATAAGCTATGATAGAATGATATAAAAATTTATATACACTTATATATTCTCAGTTATAAACGATGATATGATGACAGCGACGATTGTTGTGCTGATTTTTTTAGCTGTATTGACTATACTTTTTATAATAACAGATTTTGTGGTTTTTAGATGATTTCTTCTGATTAAAATTAAGGAAAGTTTCCAGTTCATCTCCTATTTTATTACTTATTTCTTACAAACTTCCAGTGTATTGCTATTGTAATTTTCCATTCTTTAAAATTGTACTATGGTAGGGGTGAATTGTTTGTCTCGAAGTCTTGTTTAGTAGGTGAAGGTATACTTACCATGTTTAATCTTGTCTCTCGTTCTTCCTATTTCTTGGATCATGTTATCATACATTTCTGGAGCGGATGTGAAGATTTCGATTTCTTGGTGCACAGTTTTCTAAATTTCAATTTTACATAGAGTAATTTGTGTTTTGATCGAAATTTAATTGCAGTTTTCTCCATATATATATTTTTTAAAATCTGTTTCGTTTAATGCCTATTCAGAGTGGATAATGTGTTTTTATGTAATGTTTGCTATTCAAAAAAGGAAACAATTGTCGTAAAATTTTCAGTACAATTAGGCTATCATGTTTAGAGTTATCTAAGGACTTTTTATAGTGAGTGATGATCTGATCGGCTCACTACAACAGTCTCCTTAATGACAACCATCTGACAAATTCATAAGCAAAGGAATTGCAGTGTCTGTTTTACGTATACATGTGTGATGTAGAAACTTCACATTTCCAATGTTATTAATTCTTGAATAACTGGAGTTGAAATATGCATCGTTCTTTTGTTTTTTCCTCATCCACTTTACCCACATTAGTGAAGTTCTTCATTTTCGGAATGTTATTGCTTGGCTCCTTCCTCTTCTCTGTATTGGTCGAAAATGATGTACTTTTTAAATTAAATTACTTGTTGACCAATGTTTTGCAGAAGAAAGCTGGATTCACGAGTTACGTCAAATGAGAACCGGGCTTCGATATAGGGTACCAGGGTTTTGTATGAATCACACGCAGGTTGTGGTGCGTATGGTGCTACTTTGGTACTTTAATTATGCCCTTGAGTAAAGTACTAAACTTTCCGTAGGAAATACCAGTTTCCTCCGTGGAGATTGGCGGTATCATGTTCATTTTTTAAGATATATTTGCTGCGAGAATCAGGCCATTCTCACAAATCAACTGTTTACTGTTAGACAAAAGTTCCTGCCCTCGATTAACACATGATATGCATAGCAGGATCAGGGAATGGTGCACTTGGGGAAATCGAAATTTAATTCTATGCGCTTACTTTACGAGTTAAAATGAATGCTTTATCCAGATGAAGCAATTCATTAAACAACTGGCAGGAAAAAACGAAGTGCTGATATGGTATGTGAAGGTCTTTTCTGAAGAAGTATAAAGTTGTAGCTGTTCATTTTAGGTAGTTATTATTGAAATCGAACGGTGTTTTTTCCAGCCCTACATAAGTATGAATTAGGATTTAGGTTTTCAAGTTTTTAAATTTGGTATCAAAGGTCAAAATGACAGGTAGAAGAAGTAAAGAATTTTCTTTTTGCTTTAGATTTTATCAGTTGTTAACCAAAGGTATTGCGCATATTTCGAAATGATTCAAGTGTTGGAGCTTTGGATTATAAGCAAAGAAGAGGAAATGAAATGGATGAGAATTGGGCAGTCGTGCCTTTTGCACTCCCCCGATTCTGCTGAATATCAGAAGTATCAAGTGCAGAAGTGTGTCAAGTATCAAATGCTGTGTTCTAGCATTCATTGATATACTGCTACTATTATTAAATGCTAAAAAATCACGAATGTCAAACTGTTGCCATCTTATGTGGTACTTCTGATATTACATTATGCAATAATATCACTTTATAAATGGATGGGAAGAAATGGAATCAGCCTGAAACATCATAATTGATACCATTGTGATATATTCAGCGTTTCAGTGAAAGCTTCTGGAAAACCTTAACAGTTCTATTGATCATACTATGTGCGCATCCAGAGTTTTGTCAGTGTCGACGTATGTTTGTATGTGATTATAGAAAATATTGATTAGTTGCTTTTCAGGAGTGAAGTTTCGTAAGTTCAAATTCAAATGAGATCAGTTGTTTACACTCAGATGTGTCCTTTATTTTTTGGAAAATTTGGATTTTTTTTTGGAAAAGAATATTTCATGGTGGATATCATCAGTGTTTCTTCTGAGTAAAGAGGATGATGACATCAAAGGCTTTATTAAAAGCATTCGTACATATAATAAAATTTTCCGAAATTTCAAAACTTCAGAATCGGAGCAATCTAAAAAGATGTAATTCTATCGCAACCATTTTGAAATCCTGTCAAATCCGGAAGATTTTAAACTCTTAATTAATAAATTATGAGAAATTGCATTTAATATGCAAAGTTGACATCGCTACAATACTGCTTTCTCTATTCAGTGAACTGCCTCTCATCTATACGGAAAACGCATTATCAGCTTCTACGATCCCGAAACCGGAAATCTTTAGCAATAACCGCTCCAAATCGTGTGGCTTTAGTCTGATCTCATATTACTCCTACAAAGGTACGTGTGGTTGCTGGTCAAAATTTAGAATAATAGTTTAATTTCACTAAATTCATCGCTTATCGAATTAACCAGATTTGATATTTGTATTTCCGCTAAGTAACTGTAACCCTACCATTTATTCAAAAATCAACCTCATTGTACATCACGTGAAACAACGTAGGTTGGCATCTTGCATGGATATTAAATGACAAATGCTGTTGAAATGCACGAATTAATGACCAACTTTGTGGTTATTCCGGAAATTTACACACTGAATCGAAAGTCCGGAAATCCTAAGCGAGCGAGCTGAATGCAGTTTCACGAGCGACTTCACTGCATTTTATCTCGAAGTGAATGTCTGACGATGTAACATGCTCTGGTAGATGGAACATTTTACCTGCCTCGATAACAATGGACAGTTAGGTTTTGAACCAGTTCCAGATTACTGATTTGTTTGACCTTTTGGGCCGCTCAACTGACCATCCGATGACCGTATTGTTGGTGAAGCTGTGAATTATACGGCAATGATTAAAATCCAAAAATTTAAAAAAAGAATTCAATTCAAACCTTCAGATGTTCTTATGTCACACCTAACTTTGACTACAACTTTTCCTGTTAACCACCATTGATAAGGATAAGTCGTGCCAATTTCATTTAAAATGAGTTACATAAATGACTTCACATATTCCGTTCTATCACTTATAATAATCAGAATACCCAACTTGACCGCATCCCACTTACGCTATTATTACTGATTCAAACCTTTTTCCGCACTTTAAACCTGATCCAAAAAAAAACCCTTGAAAACATCCTGCGAATCGATCAGCTCTTGTAGGTACGAGTCTGTATGTGTGCGTGCGTGTGTGTGCACATGTGTGCACACACAGTTTGTTCCCAGGTGTGTGTAGCCTTCCTGTCTGTCTGTCTGTCCGTCTGTCCACGTATCTATCGACGTAACCTGTATATATACACGTGTGTGTATGTGTGTGTCTCTGCATCCGTGTTAATGTGTGTATGCGTTTATATGTGTGTATGCGTGCACGTATGTGTCTGTATGTGTGTCTGTGTGTATACGTATATGCATGTGTGTTTGCATGTGTGTGTACGTGTGTGTATGTGTGTCTGTATATATACGCCATCCTCATAAGCGGGTCGGTACATACATCTTTGCAAATTTGTTTTCAAGGTGTATGTGTGTGCGTGTGTGTGCACATGTGTCATGTATGTGTGTGTGGGTGTCTGTCCATGGTGTGTACGCGCGCGTGTATGTGTACCCTTGTGTATCATACTAGTGGGCTTGCTCGCCCAGAGTGGTGTGTGTCCGTCTGTCTGTGGTCTGTCCGTCTGTGTGTCTGTCTGTCTGTCATGCTAGCGTGTGGTTTTTTGCTGTCTGTCTATCAAAGAAACATGACGTGCATGTGTGTGCGTGTCTGTCTGTCTGTATGTGTGTGCACATATGATGCATTGGTGTGTCTGTGTATATATATATACATATATATGTGGATGTGTGTGTGCGTTTATGAATGTGCAGGATTGTGTGTGTGTATATGCGTGTGTATATGCGTGTGTGCGTGTGCGTATAATTTGTGATAGTTATGCAATATTTTATATGATCTGGAAGTGTAGTGAAGGTGATTTCCCGAAATTTTTATTGTCGGGGAAAACTTGCAGTATCACTGCCTCACGTCAAATGCTGGTTGAGTCGAAATTGACTTCCCTTCGAATGAGTTTTAATTTTTGTTGTCTTCAGGTATCGGTTACGTGAAGTTTGTTCCTGGAATTCAAAGTCATAAGGAGAAAGCCATTGGTTCTGGACGTAATTCCCAACTTCGCACAGCCATTATGATGACGCCGAAAGGTCCGTGGACTTAGCATTTTGGTGTACTGACATCGTTGACAAAGTTGAAGTTTATGTGGAAGCCTAGCATTAGTCAGCTTTCGGAAATTCAAGACTTCTAATAAATTGATTTCTTCCATAAACCGGTTGTAGCGGAACTGCACCCGGTTTTGCTGTTATTCTGTCCTTCTTGTAGTAAGTCTCCGCGTTTTCCGAGCACGGTGAAGCTGAATTCCAGAGAGGCTTTGCCATCAATTAGTTCTCGTTGGCTTAGGCTCGACAATGAGTGACACTTTATACTTGGCCTGTTTCAGTGCTATTCTGGCACTCGTTGAAATACACTTCTGTGCAAAATTTAATAAAATCTCGATGAATTGATCGATGATATCCGTCTAATCCATCGACTTCGTACTGGATTAATCTTTCATTAACATCTTTCATTGCATAATTTTTTGGGAGGAATCATTATCGCCAATTATTAGGATTGCATTGAGTACGGCCGGGAACGAACGAATAACCTGAAGCCGGAATAACTTCCTTCTCATCTTTTCTCTTTCTCATTCACTGCTTCTCCTTTTTTTCTCTTGATGGCTTTTTTAGAAATTTTATTTTGACCTCAATGAATCTAAATATGGTTTTCATTTATCGGTCATTTTGCAGGTCATATGGTTACAAATGGCACAGATGGGAAAATTGAACTAAGCGATGAATTAAAGGTAACAATAGCGGCTGAAGTTCGCGCCCAAATTGTGCCAGTGGTCAAGGAAATAGTCCGCGAGGTGGTTACCGAGATAAGAAGCGTGATGACCGAAGTAATGGCACCTATATATGATGAACTGAATCGTCTTCGTAGTAGTACCGCCACTACGAATGGCGGCAATACAAATGCTTTGCAATTGCATGCAGCTTCTGCAGCTGCAAATTCTATCACTGCGCCGGCAACAGTCGTTGCCTACCCGTCGGATAGCGCCATTTTGGCAGAAGTTTATGCAGCAACAAGTAATGTAGCAGTAACAATGGGTGGTACTGCATGTGCAGATGCTGCTACGGCTGCTGCAGTCGCTGCACAAAATGCACAATTGCAGCAATTTCTAAAGGTTTGTCTTTGCTGTACGTTTTGTAATTCACAAATCTTCATAGTTTTACCGTTTGGCATTCATTTTCAAAAATACCAAAAGTAAAGTACCACTGCAGATTCGTGTAGGTAGCGAACCATTTGATAGGTTATAAGCTAAAGTGATTCAAATAAACCTGAAATAAGCCTAAAGCAGACATTCCTCTAAGGGTTAATGTTGGACGCGCAACCTGATCCTAGTAACATTGCCGTCTTCCTAAGGGATAATCTCAGGCTCATTTGAAATTATTTTCAGGAAAACGCCCGTACTGCTTATGATCCAAATAAAGGTAAAATGTATATGGAAGATAGCGTTGGTGCCAAAAGTCCAGAAGATTTCGTCGAGTAAGAGTTCCATTTTTGGCCTCTAAGACACTCACTTTAATTTTTTGGGAATCATTTCGACACTTTTTCATAAAAATCCATTTTCAGACAACCCAGCGAACCTCGCGCACGTGAATCGACGAGCGATTGTGCTGCATACAATTATGTCTACTATAATACCGCTTCTGCGGTACCGATTATGTCAATGTTGGAACCTGGAAGGTACCAGTTTCACAGTATTGCTTCAAACAAGTGGGATTCGGAGAAGCCTTAAAGTGCATGTCTTTACCACTGAGTACATTTGCAAAGTGATGAACATGTTCAAGTAGTTTGCACCTGAAATGACTTAAGATGGAAATAATGTTTTGAAAAATTTTAAAACATTTACTTTGTTTTAGCAACATATGTGTTTGTCAGAAAGTACCTAGTATATTTCTCGGAAAAGAAGGTGGAAAAATTTCATTTCTCGTCGATACGCGAACAGTACCACTGAAAGATCTTACCGCTGATAATCTAGGTGAGTGCTACACTTATCACTGTTATCACCAAGATTGTTTTATTTTTTCATTGTCTATTATAATACCATTTGATGAACTAATTTCAGGAAGTTGGACATGCCGTTTTACCGCTCACATGAAGTCTCGGAAATATATGGTGAAAAAGGGCAAAGTAATAGGCCATGTAAAGCAGTATGGGCAAGTATATTCAGTACCGCACGATTACGATTATATCCTGCATCGCCAATACTATTGTCACGGTAATACCATTGGTCCAGCAACAATTCGGAAGAATATTTGGTATTTGTCTAATAAATTACATGGTGGTGAAGTAATCGGATGTGCTATCATTTCCTACGAGATTGGCGATAATGCAACAGTAAAAATTTCTAAGCTACGACAGCGAGCTCTTCTCAATAACTCATCGGAGAATTTGCGCCTTTTGAAAGCCGAAATATCGGTAACACCAGAAGAAATGGATGTCACCAATGTAGCGATGAATCCAAACGCAGAATTACAACGATTTGTAAGTAATATTCAAGTACCGCAGCAGTAAGTTGCAAATTGTTTTTCTCATTTGCTAGTTTTCTCATTGCTTTGTGATGAAAATTGTGGAGCGGATGCAAGAAGCGGAATTCAAGCATGTACAATGTTCTTCAGATCATTTGGTATGGCTGTGAAGTTTTATTTTAATGCTGATTTAGGAAATTTCCAAAAACAAAAGTTCCGGAGTTAGAAAATTAATGTTTTTTTAATTTCTAAAATTTGTTAAATATGTTATGTAAATGAGACTATTTTTGAAAGCCTTATGCTGCATAGTGAAAAGACCAAGTTTATGTTATTCAAAACTCCCATTTTGAAAGCTAGGAATTTGAAATTTTGCTACTCGAAGTTTGTGTTAGGTTCAGGCAAGAACTTGTTTTATTAGCATACTAGTTCTCTAATAGTTGCATGATAAATACTTAAATTGTTCTCCAGCCAATTTAATCTTGTAAAAAAGGCCTCTCTCAAAAAGTTGAATAATCGGAGCCATTTTTGCTGAAACCGACATTTGTGGCTTCTTGTGACCGTTTCGGAATGAACATGTTTCCTGCCTTTCTGAAGCTCAGGAAACTTTTGTTTTAATAAATTTTTCATTCATGTAAATGTCACTTTGTTGCCATAAGTTATTATTTCTCATTTTAAAACCCATTGAAGTAATGCTCCAGCCAATGGTTGCTGGCAAAATTACCGAAGTCTTATAAAAATTTTTTATAATAATTTATTTGTCATTTTTCTAATTGAAATGCAGCATCATAAATATAACTTTTGCCTTCCCTAAATTTTTCATTTCTCACTCCTCTCATTTTCTTCTCATTGACACATGTTAAATACAGTAAAAGATGAATCGCAAACGAAAAGGAAAAAGGAAAAGGACATGTGTCGCATTTGCACTTCATCCTTCCCCCCCTTCCCCCAATGAATTTTGCGTCTAAATTAGTTTTTTTCCTTTTTTTTCTTGATTCTCAATGCAGTCATTTTTAAATTTTATTATGAAGTTATTTTCATTTTTAATGTGGAAAGATTGTTTTGCATGTCATTCTAGTTTCATTTGCTTCATCTTTAATGTTTATTATTGTGCTGTCAGCAGCAATTCATTTGTATATTTCTTTTGTCAAATAATTTGTGGTTTCATAGTTACTCTTCTGTTCATTCTTTTTCTCTTTTTAATAATTCTTTTATTGTGCTTTCGTTTACAGTTTAATGAATTTTTGCAATTTGAGCAATTCGAAATGCTAGGAAATTGTAAATATATTGTTATCAATTTTATAACTACATTACTTTTACTAACGTGTATCCTTTCTTATAAAAAATCGTTTGGGGTACTTTGCGGAGAAATATATGCAGTAAGCTTGCTGGGTGAACTGTAAGAAGAAAATGGTAGCCAGAAATCAAGGTTATATCAACAAAACAAAGTAAGATAAAATGGCATCAGTAGATAGTAGCAACTAACATGATTATGCAACTGATATTGTGAATTTTCGCATTTGCATATCTGCATATTACATAATTCTTGCAACAATAACTTTTTATACTTCATGAACATAGTAAAGTAAATTTGAAAAAATTCACAAATTTCATATAAGCAGGAAATTCTCATATAAGCAGTAATTAATGTTAAAACAAAATGATTTCGAAAGTGCCCAGTTTGTACCAAGTCACGGTAAAAGTTACAACAGAATTCGGTAAGAAGAAAATATCAAAATTAGCTCAAAAAATCCCTAAAAAAAGTTACGCAAAATCCGACTCTCCAAAATAAATTAACTAATTAATGAAGCATTCGCAAACAAACTAATGATTGTGATTATATGACATAACAATTAGTCATTTAAGCTTGTTTAATATAATAGTACATCGGTGAAGTACAAAATTAACTACCAATAAAATTCCAGTGTAAAGCGTTTAATTAGAGGAATGGGAGAAAATCATTCACTGCAAATATCGGCATGATAAACTGACCGTGATATACGGCAGTCGGGAAAAAGGGACAATTACTTTTATAATTACTGTAATACAAGAAATATAAGAAGTATTTAGAGAAGCTTGGGATTATTTGCGCAGATGTTGGAGTAACGCGATTATAACTTTTTAAAACATTTGTATTTGAAGATCTGCATCGATCATCGAGATTTCATGCAATCAAAATGGGTAGAGGAATAGTGGGAGAAGTACCACTTCTTGGAAATGAATTTCTGCAATATGTTCGTCCGACCAATAACCTGAAGTTAGAAAAAAAAAAACGTTACTGAGTTAAGGGGAATTATAAATGCCGATAAGGTGCTATTGTATAATTAATTAATGATGATTCTGTAAGCTTAAATTTTAGTAAAAACTGCATGTTTATTTCAGCTCAGTGAATTATTAGCACTGAAGCTTATACCATACAGGTACCGTTGATGCATGACTTCTCGGTGCATAGGGTCAATCTTTAGTTTTGATGTCCTGATCAGAATTGAGAATTCACGTAAACTGCATGACCTTCATGCACACCTTACAGTCAATCCGAAGAGATTGTTACAAAGTATCATTCTCGTGTTGCGTATCAAATGGCCAATCTTCATATGGAACATACCAATGATGCAAACTAGTACCTCAAAAATATTTGCATTTTGTTTAATCAAAGATACATAAAAACAAAAACCACTATATATTCCCTTTCATTTCTTGATTTCTGATTGACCATTGAACAATCTGATTTGAATGCAATTGTATTTCTTCAAATTTCAATAAATTATAAATACGATACACTTATTATTTGATTGTAATATTAAATTTAACTGTTCTCTCACTATTTCATTCAGTGATTTTTCAAAAAATATGAACAAAAGAAGAAAATGATACGACTTTTTTTTCTCATTTTTTGTTTTTCGAAAGTTGTTTCACAACGTTAAGAAAATCGCTAAAATTGCGACATGTCATTCAATTAAAACGATTAAATGTCAGGAGCGCCATTAAATTTAATTTGTTTTGATACAGTCTTACGCAAGTCTATATAATCACTAGGCTGTCTCGTTTAATCCTCCTAAACGTACATCTTCATGTATCTTTTGGAAATCTACGCTTAACTCCTTTTCTTCTATAATATACCAGTGGAGGTTCGAGGACCAGTGAAAGGAATATTGTAAACTACCATCCAAAGCGTACTTTTCAACTGTAACTATAAAAAACCAGGAGTATACTAAAATTAATAGTTTTTCTTCATTTCCCATTCTTCCTAACAGAAAATCTATTGAACCGTGGGCCAGTTTTTTTTGAATGATGCTTCCCGTTCTTATTATTATAGATGCGAAAGATAACTTTCCGGAATCCGTAAATCTAAAGACAGGAACATGAGAAGAGGTTATTTTTTTGAAGCCTTAAAATTAGAGCAAACCTACCTAATTGTTAAATTCACTTCCTGGAAATAAGCAATATATAAATTTCAAAACATTAAATAGTGATGAAACGATCCACTTTATTATTCCCGTAACAACAGTTGGAAGAACAGAATTGAGCAAGACGTGAGAGGGATTAAGATCAGAAATTCTTTCTTCCACTCTTTGTTCTCATTTGGACCTCTATTTTCCTTTAATTTTGAAACTACTTATAAAATTATGAAATTCAATCCAATTTATCGCTATGGTACTAAAATAACAATTAAAAGATAATATTCGAATATCGTAGAGTTTACGTCTTTCAAATTTCATTTAAAAACATTTAACATTAACATCAGAAGTACAAACTATTAATAATAGTTTTTAAGCTAAAACTATTGGTGTAATGGACCAAATCTTAAAGATATTTTCAAAAGGTCATAAAGATAAGCGCGTTTCGCTAGTATTAAGAGACATTGTGAATGTCGGGATGATTTCTTCTCTATCACATTAAGATGATGTTTTGAGGAAGGAGGAAAAATAGCGAAGAATACTAAGATAAATAAACAGACTTCTCTGAATGGATTTACTTGATCCAAACTTTTCTGAATTCCAAATATCTCAAAGGATACAGCAGATTTCGTGGTGATACAGAAATATAATGCACTGATTAGGAATAAAATGCATGGAATGGAGAATCATGTAAGATAATCCCGTCCATGGACAGTTAAGCATAACCACTTCTTCCACCAAAACAGCTTTTTCGATCTTGACTAATCTTTAACGGTTCAACAATTTCCTCATTTTATTTTGTACAGAAATTCGAATTTAAATTAATTAAAATTCAAATCCAGATTTAATTGAAAGTGATTGTTGATGTTATTTATTCCAATATAGTAACCTCTGCCACTGCGTAATGGAACTTTAGTTGGTACCACAAACGGCTAATGATCGAACGAATTCATTTTATCATCGGTCAATTAACTGAAATATTGAAGAGTTTAAGAATTATTGCTTTAATGTTATAACAGCGAATGAAGAATATTTCTGAGTATCATAAAAAATAAAAACTAAATTATGCTTGTACTGATGAAGAAGAGATGTCAAAGTTCAAAAGTCCCCAATTAGCACAGGAATCACATCCATCATAATGTTGACAAACAAACCACAACAGAAAAATTTAAGGAAGTTACACTATTATATTTATAAAATCACTTTTTAATTTTTTGATTCGCCAATTCGGTTAAATAAACCGTAAAATGAGAAAAAAAAACAAAAAAGAAAATTAAAGACTCTCCTCTTCTACTTCATTCTCTATCTTCTCTTCCGCAAATGTTGGAGGACAAAGCGAATTCAATTCACTCATAGCTTTCAGTCGTTTCTTCATGGGAAAAACTTGAACTTCGGGAGAAATTCCGGAAATGAACAATTTCAGATTGGAATTCTAATTTGAGCTTAAAATTCATTAGCTTAAAATTAAATTTTAACCATCCCTGTATGATAGAACCAAATTACTGAATTCGTCAAATGGAATTGGATTGATAAGCCCGTTTCCAGGAATACGAATGACAGCGTATTCAAATTGGTAACGTTATCAGCCGGAGTACCTTCTTTGACCCGTTTTTCCGGGATTTTTGAGTTCATATACGGGATAAAAATGTTGCATGCCAGACCATCAAATGGCATGGAACTTGAAGTTTGATTCAAAACGAATTTAAAAATTCATTCCCAGAATCATTTCCCAAGAACAATTGAATTGGAGTGTATCGAAGAAAACTTCAACTTTTGAGTTCTAACTTTGGCTCAAAAATGACGAACAATTAAGGATTTCAAACCATAACTGGGGTTTAAAGTTCACTGGGGGAATGAACTAACCGTAATTAAAGCTAGTGTGACTTTACGCCAGATTGTTACAGGCACCATTAATAATAGCAGTGATTACCAGTTACAAAAACATATATGATTCAGCAAAACCAGTGATCTGCTTTTGAGTTAGTATATCTAGACAAAAAAAATAAAAACAAAAAAAAAAAGTAATCGCAACAGGATGATAAAATGTTGGCCAGTGTTTGCACTGATCAACTAACGGATAGTAGATAAAGTGTTTACTTTTAATCAAAAGAAATCAAGAATTCCTAACTCTTCATATAGTCTGAATATTTTAAAACTGAGATTCTGAATTCTAAAAATAAATCTTTTAGAAGAGACACAGAATTTGCAAATTCAGCAAAATTAAAAAAAAGAAACAATATTTCCTAATTAGTTTGCAGTGAAAAATGACCTACATGCATGATAGCGCTATCAATCATTCAGGAAGATTTTTATGAGCGATAGAATCAACAGCATCAAGTCTTCTTCCTTCCTCCTTAAAAAACGAAAAGCTGGGAATGGTTTAACTTAGTACAACTGGTTGAAAATACTTGAGCAGAAAAAGTTTTACCTACAAAAGAGACCGAAGATGAACACATCAAGAGCTTAAATCAAATCTATTTTAAAACGATTTTGGTATTGCATTAATTAAAACTCAATATTTTAAAAAGCACCCCAACCGATGAACTTCTAGGTGGGAATTCAAGACCTGTATTGGTAACTATTATCCTGAGAATTCATTATCAGTCATCGTAAGTTTCCAAATTTCAGCAAAAATTCAATTCCAGAAACAATCTTATTAAAAATCAAAAGATTTTGAAGCACGGAATCTAAAAGTTAACAAGTCATGCTTGGAAGAATTCTCTTCCAAGCATGACTTGTTAACAAAAATTGACTAAGTATATGCCCACACCGATTTGTCGCAGTTTGGTTAAATTTCAAAGAATCAACCATAAATGGATTCCAAATTCCAAGCATCAAAACTCTATTTACATCAAGCACAGAAGCCAAACATACTCAAGCCATCACCAATGCTAGACGGGAATGCAGAAAGGAAGTTATATTTACACGACCTTTGGGATTTTACGGTTGCGAAACAAAAAGTTATTCCCAACAAAATGCACTTTATATAAGCCTTCCATTTTTTATTAATAAATTATCTATTGAAAAAAAAAGAAAAATCGCTGTCCTTCAAGTTACGGTTTTTTTCATTGTGCTACAGCACCAAAATAAAAAACTGATTTCGAGAAATTTTAAAGACCGTACATTCTTTAAGGAAAAGCAACAAAATGTTAGCATACACCGTGTTTATGGTGACCAAAAGTATGGATTATTTAAACCACCCATATATATATAACACTTATTTCATATTAACCAGAGATCGATAAAGACTACAACTTTTCTGCAAGAATAATAAAATTTGCAGGTACTGGGCCTGAATTAACACTTCACTATGACTGTGGCATACGTTTCTACGGATAATAGAGAGCTTTTCTATAGAACCAGGGTGAAACACGAAACAACGAGATTAACACTAAAAAAAAATGAAAGCAGTATAAGCCAAGCACGTCTTTCCACATTTAAATGAGCTGGGGAAGACCAGCCAGCTGAGAATAATCAGTTGAACAAAATCAACCAAACAAGAACAGTTAAAATAAATAGTCATCATTATTGAAACTAGAAAATTGACACAGTGAAAAAGTAATGCGATACAAGATACAATATAAGGCAAAGCAATAACAATGAAAATAATATACGGAAAATGATTGTCTAATCGAAAAGCTTCGTTATTCGGCTTTTTGCTTCCTTCAAACGGCTAGTTTTCATGCTAACAGCACTCTTCGAGTCAGCTGATGTCGCAAAAGCACCAAGTACGTGCACTTGCTTCCCATTTGTTCGTACAAAACTAGACAATCGTGGCCCAAAATCATAAATACTTCCAGTAAATAAATGGGGAATGTCCTGGAAAAGAAGCAAAGGAAATCGCGAAAGAAGTTAATGGAATTTCATTAAATTAATTTCTGTCAAATAATAATAAATGAAAAATGTTATCATCTTTCAAGCAAATATAAGCTATTCATTCTTTTTATACTAAGGTGTATATAGTTCTGCTGATCGAAACAACGCAGCGCCGTAGAAACTGCAAATCGACGTATTTACATTGAATTTTTCTCACAATCAACATCCATTATATTACTGCATCTTTCCACCTAGTGTTTTATTGGAAACATGTTCGGTATTAAAAAATTTAACGTACTCTGTACAAAATAATTTATATCAATATGTGACTTGAAGTGAATATCTTAATAGATCAATAGAATAAAGCTGATCCGTAAAATGAACATATCAAAAGCAGATGGCAGAAAGAGGTGTCAATATCTAATTCAAAGAAGTGTGGAAACGCTATGTTTATTGAACAAAATATAAAGCATTCAATTAAAAGTCGTCCCCAATGCTATTATCCTGTTCTTCAAGTCCCATGCCTCCTTTTTTTTTTTTGTTTCTTTTTCTTTTCTCAGTCTGCATTGGGGATTCACCTTTTAAGTGCCCCTTGCCACACTACAACCCAAGATGTGAGACATCACCTGCAACTACATAATTTTTTAAGACGGACAAAACGACATCAATAACTAAAACCTACGAATACAATTGATTTCCGCGTCATTTAAGAAAACTACCACTCACCGAGTCTGACTGTTTATGCTGACAACCATATACAGATATAAGAGGATATGGTAAGAACCCAATCATCTTTGGAAATATCGTGAATGAAATTTGTCCCAGACCACTCTCTTTTACATGCAGTACTGCAAGAGGAATTAAAGATAGGTGCAAAGTAGTATTAAAGACAAAGGACTGTTTGCAAAATCTTTTTTTCTTTTTTAAATTCGCAAAATCAATGATTGTGAAATTCTAATCGCGGATCATTAAACAATAATTACGAACATTTAGAATGGTAATAATAAATGGAAATGAAAGTTATAAAACCTCGTCATAAGCTTAACATAGGGAAGGATGAAGTTTGAAAATTTAAAAAAAAAAGAAGGATGAAGTTTGAAAATTTAAAAAAAAACGAGTGGGTGCATATGTCTTGTAGTAAAAAGTCTAACCGAAAAATCTAAAATTGTGCCTAAATTTCAAATCTGACCCTACAATTTAAATTTTAACATTAAACGGGAGAAAAAATCAGAAGGCAAAAGTGCAAACTTACATTTATGCCTTTCATTAATGGTCCAGAAACATGGATCAGCGTCAACACCGATAACTACTGTTTCAACACGGTTTGTTAAACTTCGTAATGAAACTATCATATCGCATGCATCTTCAACACGACAGAGAATTGCACCGGGTTGCGATGAAAGTAATTGAGCACAAAGTTCATAATTTGGCTAAAACACGGTTCATAAAACTTTTAACATTCCAAGAACTCAGCTAACCAAGTTCAAGCTTTTCCCATGTTCAATTTCATCAATTTCAAAGGTATTCGCAACACTTCATCAATAGAATAAAATGTTGCATGCGTTGCCAGGTTTTTGGAAAGAAAAAGAGATATAATATGAAGTTCACATTCCTCATTTTGCTTTTTTTTTCTAATCATATCATATTTTCTTGACGAGTTTAAACGACATTCTCTATTATAATGGCCTCAAGGTTTAAATGCTGTTTGAAATTTCAAGAAAAACTATGAAGATTTAAAATTAACAAAGATACTATGAGGATTTAAAAAAAATTAACAAAACTGTTTTGCACTGCACAGGAAATTCATCAAATAGTGTGTACTGACGATCATAAATTAATTCATCCTCATTAGTATACCCGTTTAATGATTGCACTCGATATGTAAACCGTAATTTATAATGCTCAATCTCATCTGTTTTTCCTTTACTTGATGGTAAAATCCAAACTAAACGATATCTACATCCCGGTTGTATGCACTGAAAAACAAATACATTACTTTAAGTTGGAATATGCCAGATTTGACTTAATAGGTTAAACCGCAACGCATCAACGACGAAATTCAAACACTATTAACATTCCTAAACCAACGATAAAGGATTACAAAACTCATATTTTTTAGCAGGAAAGAATATGATCAAATAATTTAGTAGCTGTCTTATCGATTTAATCAAAAATTCGGATATAAATTAAAACAGTTTTAATAAAGTGATATATGTGAGATACAAAAGGCAATTGCTGAAATCTCGAAATATGCCCAAGAAAGTTCCGACCTACCGTAAGCTTGGGATTTAACAATTTCGCCGGCATTTCGGGTGATTTGTCACTTATCCTGCTCAATATAGCTTCTTGAGGTATAATCAGCCACTCATCAATGTTTCGCAAAAGTGTTAGTTCGAAAAGAACTCTGTGATGTTTGGTAAAATATTAATGAAGGTAATTTAATAGTGTCCGAAGAAAAAAGTGACACTGCAAATCTGAATCCAATTCAAAGCATACTTTAAAATTCGCGACAAAAGGAAAAGAGGTAACTTAACCTTTCTTCCAGTAAAGAAGTATCATTATCAATATTCATAAAAGACACAAAATTAACCGTAAAACTCCATTCTTCACCCATCCATTTCACCAAAATCTGAATTCGAACTAATGCAAATTTATCCAGAGAAGAATTTCCATAAAAAATTCATTTATGCAGTAAAATTCAGCTGATTTGAGTGATGCTATTATTCATAACTCGATAAAAAAATATGATATATTGCGTAAGAAGAGTATTTTTGAGTGGAAGTCCCATTTAGGTCACCATAAATAGAAGAAATACCTGTGAAGCATACGTCGGTAGTCGACTTTTCACATTTTCTTCCCTGCTTGAAAAATTGCGAAGTATTTTACATAAATGAACGGTAATAGTTTTATTATTTTCAGGAAGCGCACGATCCAAGGAAAAATTACAGATTTCAGACCATTTCGATCTGGATATATCCTGGGAAACGAAAAATCAAATTGGCATAAACGAAATAGCGATTTAATGGGTGTATTCCGCGAGTTTCGGACAAGTTAGCTGTGAATTTTCACTTCTTTTCCCGAGATAATTGACCTTGTAAATAAGAAAGAAAAACATAAACTATTAAGACAAATTTGTAGAGATGCAAAAAATAGGCGAAAACATAAAAATAAAGAAATAATATTTATTAAGCGTAGCATTTCCACTTGGCACTGAAAATATAATATTCCTCACACAATGCTTTAAAGAAGGTTTATGAACACAAGGGTTAATCCAACTGCATCTGGAAAATCTATCCGCTGGCAAGACCACCAGAAGTTAAACGAGGTAAAAGCAGAAAATGATTGAAATTGTGTTGTTATGTGAATTCAAATAAATAAATAAATGAACAAAAGCGAAGTTTGAAACTTTGAAAATGTTATTATTTTGCAAAATAATCATACCCAGAATTCTAAATCGCCCCCAGCAGAACAAGTTAATTGTAGCATGCAGTTTTCAACATTTGTCGATCTACCTGTACCATAAAAAATTTCGAATTCAATATGTTGTGCCACACCGGCTATCAGCGTACCATCTACAACAATAAATCTAAAGTATGATAAATCTAATTCTCATAACCGGAAGAACATTACCTGCCCAGTCCAGATTGAACGAGCAGTCATCACATTCTACCTGTACACTTTCAAATAGTGACTCTCGAGATAAAAAAATATCATTACGGCGGAAAAAAAAGATATCATTACAGAGAAAATATCATAACTAGAAAATATCATCACGGTGCACTAATGAGAGTAAGTGTCTTAAATATATATTTCATTATCAAACGATAATCGTTTTTATCGCTTAAAAAAAAGAAAAAAAACTGTAATTAATAAATATTGAAAAGAAGCTGTAATTAGTAAATACTGATAAGCAACAAGGGAATTCTAAAATTTCAATAAAAACCGAAAAATTTGACATCACTTGAAAAGAAAACTCAGTTAAACATTCAACAATATACACAATAACAAGCTATAAATAAAATTTACTTGGTGGTGGCTTTAATTTCAGAGAAACTGGTTTATGATGGACGAAACATATTGGTAGCCGAGCTAAATCTTCTTCGATTTCTGGCACATCGAGCCAGTCACAACGCAATATCAATGAATGACCGATTTCCAGCTCGAAGTAATCAAAGATATACGTTCCAGTAATTTCTGATGCCTGTTCGAAAAGAATATTACAACAGATTTTGACATTATATGTAATGTCGAAAAACTTGCATCACTGAAACATACAGTTAAAACTTAAAATTAAATTCATCCTTTCTCATTCGAAGAATCTCAAATCATTTCTCCTAAATTTCGTTTACCCAAGAAATGTGGAAAAAAAGTATATAAAAATAACAATTACTTTCAAAATTCCTGAGATCAAAATTACCCATTAAAGTAGCGGTTCACAACAGGTGGTTTGCATGAACTAAAATATGGCCCGCGAGAGCTGCAGCGCGATGAACGATACGAGCAGGGGCTATTTTCATATTATAATATTATTCTAAGATAATACATTAAAAGTTCCAATTTAAGTTTGCGAATTAAAGAATTTATTGATTCTGAACTTGTAGTCCTTGCTACAAATAAAAAACTGAAGCGGTCTCTGGTCAAGAAAAGGTTGGGAACCACTACATTAAAGGGTATGAAATACCAATTTCATATAATACCAGTCATAATTTTAAAAAATCTTATAATAACCAAAATATACTTGAGCGATCAATGTTAGGATATTTTCACCAGGCCTGAGTTCATCCGCGATAGAACTTCGGAAAATCAAGCAATCCTCTGACTCGTCAGTCGAATTCATGCTAAATCCTAGAAGGGATCCCCTTCGTACCTCAATACCACCTTTCCAAACACATGCAAAACGACTAATACCATCTACTTCCTGCAATTCATGGAACTCAGTATCCCTTCCACTTTATTCAAAAACGGTGAGATTAAAGAGCAAATTTGAGGAGCCATTCAGTGAGAATTATCAAAATTTCCTATGAAGAATATTTATAGCGAGTTACTGAAAAAGACTGGTTTGTGTCAAACCACATTATAATAAATAGCGAAAAGTTTCAAGACGCACATTGTGCATGCATTCGAAATGCGGTCGTCGTCCAGCTGTTCGCTTTTGTGATTCATTTTGAACAAAAAGTTTCATATAGCAGTGCAGTTTGAAGTTTTTTAACATTTTAGGTAGATAGCTGGTAACTTTAGCATCAATTTTTATTGTTTCATTCGGTGTTGTCATTAGAAAAGGAAACGACGAATTAAAACCGAAGGAGAAGGTCTTAGGTTGTTTACAGTTCGAGTCTAATCTGCAAATGGGTTTTTAAAAGACGAATTTATAATTTGACCAGTAAACTACAACCTTCCTATAACTACTTGCCGATTAAAACAATTGTTAATGATAATCGACAAGACCTTACAAGTTCTTTAATTTCAACGCTAAAATACAACTTCATCAGTATAAAAAGATTGTTATTTTAATAAAATTTGATGTGAGAATCTTTTTTTCATTTAAAAATTTTAATTTCATTCCCTTTCCTCTCTTAAAAAAAGTTCTTTAACTTAAAATTCTTTCCAAGTTACTATTTTAACAAGTTTAAACAGAAAATGGAACCTTATCTTCGTTATATTCGGTTTTTCACTTAGCTCCAATAATTTATCACAATACTTGACCCGTTCTTTTTCTGTTTTAGCCAGCTTCATCAATATTAAATAAAACTCTACAAGCCTGGAATTCCTCTCTTTCAATTATTGAGTTTGAAAATAGGAATCAGAGTTAGTAAAAAAAATTCAAAAATGCAAAGGAACAAGGCTTACTCCTTAAAATGGATTCCTGGAAATTTTTCCAAATGATTTACAGTGAACAGCAGCATATCTCTTAGCAGCAATACTGTTGAACCGTCTGCAATTAAATCGGAAATGAAATTCAATAAATATGGGAGTGCTCCCTCTGCACGATCCAATGACCTGAAAGAATGAGATAGAAATAGAACAAGATTGCAAAGTTCTAGACAATCAGTCAGAAATAAACAGTTCCTTTTATGAATCCTTCATCGAAGCAATTTTATCAAGGAAATTTCTTGGTTAATTTTAATTACGGAATAACTTACTAAAATGAACTACGTAAAGTGCATGACCGCATTCTGCGCAATTGCACTATAATTTAAAACTACATATCAGAATACGCTGGGGGGGGAAAAAAAAACAAGCATTGACTAGAACTCGACTAATCCTTTCATTAATTTCTGAAATACATTAATGTTGCATCAAATTGATGCAATCCATAGTCGGAGAGCGAATATAAATCAGAAAATTATCATACAACAGAAATTTTGCCAACTCCCAACCAACCGCGCGTGCTTCACGCCTCCAACCAAAATGTTTCAGGAGAGCTATGGAACTTTCATGGTATTTCTGCATGTAATGTGTGAACTGTTGCTTATCGGAAAGAAGCTGTCTGAAATAAATAACCCATCAATTTTGGAACATTCTTATAAATTTAACTGAAGTACAAGGAACCATCATGCAATTATTTTTTAAAAAATTTGAAATCCACTCAGAGACAATATGCGGATGAAGAAAAGAGGAATTCTTACTCATATAATCAAGTATAACCTCGTCAATTAATGTCAAGTGAAGCACACGGACTGACCAAATCTTTGCGCTCAAGCATTTCGAAAGTAAATGAATTCTGACTTCTCTCAACATCACGGGTGACAACCAGAACACTTGGTCACGCTCACAGATTAAACCCTTGCCTTATTTCATTGACAGCATTCGTTTTAACTGCTTCCACGCCACATCGTGCAATTCCATCTTCAAACCACTTCGTTATCTTCTTCCAATCAATCAAATCCCATCTTTCATTCAGTCTTGACATCTGAGATAAATTTAGCATATAAGAAGTTTCTACGACTCGAAAAGATTGGTCTTGAAAAACTTTATATCTTCCAGCTTTAAAGAATTTGCAGGGATTTCATGAAAATAATAAAGAAGTAAAAACTTGTTACGGTGAACTTACCGCTTGGCAATTGACCAATTTGAGGGAGCAAGTTAAGTGAGCAGCTTGCTCAACGTGTGTTATTTCAGTTAATAATGATGTTAGCTGCATTGTTTCCAAGCAAAATGAAACTATCCAACACTGCGTCTCGTCACAGTCTAGAGGTATCTGGAAGGGTAAACTTAGCTTAAAAAAGAAAACCAGAAAACAAAAGTTAAAAATTAGTTCAAAATAAATACTTGAGATTGAGCATACAAGCGACGTACATTACGTTAGTTTTAGATAACAAAGTAAGCAACAAAAATCAAGACCACATTAATCAAGTCGATTAATAATACATAAATAGCAAATAAATCAACCAATAGAGAGTAATCTGCTTCTCTTGAATAAGAGGTGACTCTCTACTTGAACAGAGGACATAAAATTTGCTAAAGGTGGCCAATGTTTCAATCGCTTGCTTATACTTACCTTCGTTCTATCTTGTGAGCAAATTTCAATTCAGAAAATATCAAATACCTTGAAAACTATCATACTTTCGAATATTGCATTTAAGCAGTGGAGCGAATAACGTAACAACGTAACAGCAAATTCAGTTCTCAGATTCTGTGAGTTACTATCACCGGTCGTTGAGACCCGTTGCAAGCGTGCCTCGTATATTCGCATCGCATTCTGGAGAAATTTTTTAAGCTACTTTTTTGATACAAAATTTAAAAAAAATGAAATCCATCCACAGTAAAGTAAATATTTTAATTTAATTTGATGTAGCTCATGTCTCAAATAAAAACGTTTGCCATTTCAAGCTGTACCAAATAGTGGTTGATATCTTTCTCAAAAACCTTAGAATATTGTAGATCTCCGCCATTACTATACTTCCATTTCTAAAAATTGCAAATAAATTCTAGAGTAGCAGCAAGCACTCCTTATCTAAATAACATAGTTTCAATTAGTTCCTATAAATTAATAAATTCTAATTTCCTTCAATCAGTGGAAGCGATAACAGTACAATGAGAATTTATCATTTACTATTCCAAACCAGCCCTTTAATCTCTCGAAATTATTAACTTGATTATTGTTTCCTAATTAACATTCTATTCCTAAGAGTGAACAAACCGCCTGTAACAATACTTCGACCATAAAAACAATAACTGAAAAAAAATGCAGTCGTGTTTGGTGTACCAGTATTTGATGCGCCAAAATGATGTAGCGTAACTCAACAATCGTAATATTATCCCACGGTCCATCACATTTCAACATCGCTACGAAGAGTGGACAACCGGATGACATTGAAGTTAAACATTCTGACGAGGCTAACCACTTTGGTATGGGTCCTAGAAGTGGTATTAAAAACCAAGTAAAGTTTCAAAGAATTCAGTTTTAAAGAATTATATCACTTTGGAAAAAGTTATAAATTTGTAATATTTAATATTTTGCAATTTGACAGATAAAAATTTTGTCTTCTTTCTTCAAATTTAGTAAAATTTGGATTATGTATGCTTTTACCTTTTGATGAATGATGAAGAGCAATTAATGACAGCATAGCATCAAGTTCATCAAATAATGCAAGTATTTGCTCAAACATGCCCAAACTTTGGTAAAGACGAGATAGTCTCATCTGAAAACTGAGAAATTTATCAGAGAAAAAATACAATTTTTCTATTGATTGCAGTTTCGCATTAACTCCTTCGATCAAAAATACGTATAGGCAGTGATTAAGAAACTATAATTATGATTACGAATATTATTATCAAACACATAAAAGATATGAATCAGTTTTTTTATAAAAGAAAGAGAAATCAGTAATTTTTAAATGATAATATAAAAAGGAACTACTGATTTTTCATTTTTAATTGTAAAAAACGTAACTACCTTACCTGATCTCGACAAAATGTGATGAAATCAAAGTCAGAGTCGGAATACTGATCATTTCGATTGGACAAATTATTTTCCTCATGAGTTACATAATGATCCAGAGAATTTAACAGATGTAATTGCATGCTACTCTGTAGTGCGGCTATATTCGATGGGTCATAAATTTCAACAATCCTGAAAAATTGTCGCTATATATCAACCGGTTCAATAAAATTTGAAGAAAATTCTTCGAATTGTGAGACATAATCTTATACATTGATATAACATTTATGAATCATGGTTTTAAAGCTCATTACTGATTACTGACTATAAACTTTTGTTTTTTGAAAATCGATCGATTCTCGGGGAAAAATTATGTTAGTATGAATTTATGAATATAAGTCAAGCTATACCAGCTCTTGAAAAGATTACGTTAAATCTATCCTCTCATTAGACTACTGATGCAAACAATTCACTCACTGAATGAAAAATATGACAAGAAAGTCGGTTGTTTTTCGAGGACTTAAACAAGGAAGTGGTCCGAAGCTAATACGAAGTGAACTCACAGTGCATTGCGCATCCAATAGTAAAGATGAGAGACATAAAGGAGACAGTACTGAAGAAACTCGATTAAGAAGCTTGAATGAAAAATTGCATAAAAATAAGACAGAAATTTAGAACCCCAATGGACCTATTTGTGAATTTCGCAAAATCACTTTTAATCCGCTCAATAAGAGCTCCACGGTTCTTCTGTTCTCGTGCTTTTAAACTATCGAACACAATTAACCATTCTGCGCCCTCGATTTTGCTTAATGTTGCGAACCATTCGCTTATCTCATTCCTGCATTCATTCCGATATTCCGCTACTGTCTGAAATATAAATGAAGTGGTCATCAGTGATTTTCATTTAGCTCCAGTAATTCTAACATATTTTTTGAACATATTATTTCAGCAATCGTGGTATTCTTGTCATAAAATTTCAACAGAAACTGAATTTCATTTATGATGGTCCAGACTTTAAATTTGTAATAAATGAATGGATAAACTACATGCAGAAGTTACACTGAAATAAAAAATAAATCCTCTTTGCAACAGTGGTGGCAAATAAATAAAATGTCGAATGCACCGATCAAGGGTTGCATCATGTTCGATTCCCGAGCATTTCTACGGACACAATGTTCACATAGAAGAATAACTGAGCCATGGGGACAACTATTTTTATCCATTTAAATATATTAACCCAAGATTAATGCAAACAAATAAATGGTATTTCGTCAGTTAACGAAACGACACCTGCACATTTGCCATACTACCATAATTATACTGCCCTACTATATGTTAAAAACTTACAGATGGACTCAAGAAAAAGAAATGCAGCAATGATGCTTCCTCCCATGTTTTTGGTTTGATCGATTTATAATCAATCAAAGTATCATTTGAAAAGGGAACGAATTCGAAAAAGAAATGCGCATGATATGAGAAAGAGCATTGCTGTGAGCTCCTGAAGTTTCTCAAGTTCAAACTTTTTTCCTGAATTTGATGAATAACGAGGTCTTTTTCTTTCGTTTAGCTTTTGTTTCAAATTTAATCAGAACAGGATGAAAAATCATATTAATTCAACAGTTTTTTCCAAGAACAGAAAACTACCTTTTTATTCAAACATGCACGAAAATAATTTACTAATGTAACACTGTTTCTTCACCGACATCCTCAAATCTCAAAAGAAATTTACAACTCATAAACTACTTTCGACAAAATTTTCCTAGCTTCATTAAGGAATTTCGCAGTTGATCAATGAATTTTCCATTTCAAAAATTAATATTTGTCATTGGAACTATTGCTAAAATGTGCTAACCTTTTCCATAAAACGACATTTTTTTTCGAAAAAATTGGATAATTTTTTATGGCATATCTTTTGCAATGTTTCGTTTCCACGATCTAAAAAAGATGGTTAATAGCATAAACTACAAGCCCATCGGATACCTCGAATACTTCGGCACTCTTTCCTTTTGTTCCCAAAGGAGTGGTATTCAACCTCTCGAAAAATCCTGACCCATAACGAGGAAGCAATAGGCAGGGGGTGTGGCTTGGACCCTCATCATTTGTTAATTGCCGAGCAAGATAATCTGACTCAAAGCAATTAAAATCAGACTCAAAAACCGGAATACTTACGTGAAAACTTGATAGGTAATCGTTTTTTGATGTCAAATAAACTTGTTAAATCCATAAGGTATTCCTAAAAAGTGACAATGTCATAGTGCGTAATCATGAAATATTTCAAAATTCAACCTACCCTTCACATTATTTTTTCCAGTGTTTAACATTCCAGAAACACTTAGCAGGTATAAATGATTTCTCTCATAAATGATACTCATCGCAAAATAATTCCCTCCACTTCCATTATTATTGTTTCCCTCCATTATTAACATTTAGTCTGAACGACTTAACAGAAACCAAACTTATTACAACCCATTCCCTCGCATAACCCTTGCTCAGTACCAGACAGTGAACACTGATCCCACTCCGCAATCCATCATGAAAATGCCTTGCGGTAAAAGAAGGCTGAACCACGAAGTATCACTGTTTAATGGGCCGACCTCTCCGAGGCAGTTATTGAATTGTAACCTCAGCTGATCCAATACTTGTGGGAGTCAGAAGTATTTTTCTTTAAGTTCTTAAGTTCCAAACTCCAAGATTGGACAACTTAAATTTATATGTTCTTGGCAAGTTATATTACTCCTAAAAATTCATGTTTGATTGAAAGGATTGAATCAATGCATTCGTTCTTTATTCCATTTTGCACTTTCAGTCATTTATCACATTGTACACATATACTTGGACCAAAAAAAGAAAATCATTCAAAATATGAAGTGCAATATTGGCAACACAAAAAGTTAGCGTCCGTTTTTTAAATTTTAGAAAGTAAATCAATACAGAATAAACGAAACGGATGATATTACTAAGTATTAATGGTTGCATTAAAAGAGACCTGAAATAGATATTACAGAAATGTATACTGGCTCCCAAAGTAAGTGTTGCTCGCTGATTCGTAGGAATTGAGGAAGGACGGTTGATTTTATAATATCACAATTCCTCCTAAAGATTCAGCGAAAAACAGCTGCACTTCCCAATTTCCACATTTTTCCTATCGTTACTATTTATGATTTGTAGTTTCGGAAAGCGACCGCAATTTTATTACTTGATTATCTGAGGCAAGCAGTACAAGAATGTTATGGAAGCCTGATAAAAATTGCTGAGATAACGTCAAACGGTTTAAACGTGGGGCTGTGTTATCGGTATCGAACTGCGTGTTTTATTAGAAGCATCTGTTGATGAAGGTTTGCAGTGTTGCTCCTCTGTGTTCACTTCTTGGTTCTCTGTTGATCTTTCCAGTTGTGTACCGGGATGCGATTTTGAATCGTTGGGATTTTGGCTGGTGCAAGTATTCAATTGCATTAGACGAGATGACGAACAACGCCTCAAAGATAGACTGGAATAAAGCGGGGTGCACTTTAACATATCTTTCAACTGGATCGATTCATAGTTTTCAATTGATTCTTGGAATTTTTCAATCCATAATTCCTGGAATGAATTTAGGGTCTTTCGGAAATAAAGGTCGAAAATTTGGAATTTGCATTCCAGTTTTATTTTTAACCCGAAATGAATCGGAAATTCTTGGTCATTGTTTATCGAAAGCAGTTTCATTTCTCGAAATGCTGCTTCTCTTTCCGGAGTTAAAAACTAGATTCCTCTAAAACTATGAACAACTTTCGAATTATCCTGTCCATTTCAAAACGACAACTCATTAAATTTGAGGACAATTTGCATCAGTAACTTTTCCAAAGGTAGACATTAACGATATATGATGCAGCGAAAATGATTATTTTCTGAAAGAAGAGAAGAGGAAGTCACTGAGCAAAAGATACGATAAGGTGAAGTTAAGATTTACTTTATCCTGTTTGTTAGCAGCTTGCAAGGTAAAAATCGATACCACTTGGTAGTAGCGTGTGAGATGTATTATCACAAATGCAAATTTCAATGACACTAAAAAAAAGGATTGTCAGAGTTGATTCCCGTAAATTATGAGTGAATTTCACAAATTTCGAACGGGAAACAAACTACTGGTAGTGGAATCATTGGAATCAGCATCGCAGAAAACGCAGGAATCCAGCGGTATTGGTTGCTTCTGCACGACATATTGTTCTGATTTCGTTAACTGCGTCGTGCCTTTCTATAATTAGCATTTATTAAAATGATGTATCAAAAAGTAATAAGCAGCCTAAGAAATGCTAATGATGCTCTCTATCTTAAGATGGTTAAAGCAATCGATAATAAACTCTGTTCTGTGCGGCGGTAAGACTTTTTAAATGCGTTGAAGATGATGCTTCATTAAAAGTGTTTTCTAAATGATGCTTCATTAAAGTTGAAATGTTTCAAATATAAAAATCTTTTGCTCAAACTTTACTTAAATTTTGCAATTTTTTAACTCTGAATTAAGAAGAAATACTTTAATTTTGGTGCATTTTTTCATTTTCGTTAGCAGAAACATATCGTTGAATAAGAACGCATAACAGTCACATGTTCTGCCGTTTTCTGCAAAATTTCAAAAGTGAATTTCAAATTCCAAGGAAAGTAGCTTTTCATATAAGGAAATAAATTCTGCAGGATCAACGAAACTCATTAATGCACTGACCAACAAGATCCAGATGGCCCTCATGAATCAGTTTTCTTCTTGGATGTGCCAAAAGATTCTCGCAGAACTGCCTGGATACTGCAGCTCGTAAGAACTGCAAATAATATCATGAAAGTCATGGATAATCATGAATATGAAAATCATTAGTGATAGCAGAACAGAGTTACATTCGAAAATTAATGTGACAGCAAAGTTACAACGACAGTACCCATTCAAATCGACTTTAGGCAGAAGATTTCGCCTATCTGCAACTATCAGTATCGAAATGTAAACTTTCTCTCACCACATAATATTCCAAAATTCAAAAATTATAAAACAAAACATTATAAAACAGCAGATGCTCACCTCTGGAATAAACGTTCTTGCTTCTAACTCAATGATTGATGGCCAAATAACTGAATTTTGCAATTGCTGTAACCGCTCGAAATTGTGCAACCACTGGACAGAATCATCTATTGATCCTGAATGAGAAGAAGCGCTTCCTCGTAGAATTTCATATAACTTTTAAAAATTATAATAACTAGCAGTTATATTAGTGTAAGGGATCCAACGGAATTCCGGAATCAGACGAGGTAATTATTACTTCCTATATGTACGCGAGGTGCTTTGCAATGTAATACCTTAAATATTTTAAGTTTAAATATTTTGATAATAATACAAGCTGTGCATACTTAATGATTCATTCATATTTTCGATAACTTTTTCGATCCGTGCTTTGTCGTCATTATTTTTGGTATATTTGTGAATTTCTTTTAACAGAATAGGCAACCTTGTAATGCGCTGTAATGGCGCTATTAACAAATCTTCCAACTGTAACCGTTCACAGCGCGGATCTGTAAGACATATCTGAAAATATCGAAAAATGGATACAGTAAATGTCAGAAAAATTTGAAGAAGCAAAAAACTGAATCAGTCGAATTAAAGCATTGCAAAAAATTAATCCTAATTACCAAAGAGAGAGCATCCATTAATTAAGTACTAAAAGCTAATGAATATGTAAATGGTGATGTGCAGAGGCAGAAATATGCGAAATCTACCCCTTCAAATTCTGTGAAACGTTCCTCTTTCTCTCGTATTGATCCGAGGTATTCCATCGTAGCCTTGTAATTGATACAGTATGCCTGGTAAGCCGATATTGTTGAAGGTCCTTTGGAAAACTTCAAACAAAAAATTCTAATATTTAACTGTGGTACTTCATAACTAACAAACTGAAGATTATGCTCAACTTTATCTCAGTTGCAAAACAGATATTTTTAAAAGGATTCTTACGTACTATTAGAGTCTATTTTGATTGTAACTTTTATTGAAATTCAAAAAAAGCTTGCCCTTTCGAACAATTTCACAATAAGATCAGTTGTATTGTAATTACCATTTTCACTAACCGTGCCAACTTCATTCATTATTTTAAGAAATGATTTGCAAAATGACCAACTTATCTGCAAAAATTTTCACAATTATTAACTGCTTGACTTTCAAAGTGTTCAAAGTTAAATTAAACATTTTCGTCCAACTTTATTGAGATTCCAAGTAATCCTGTCTATATTTTGTTGAAAATTAATCATAGAAACATAGAAGCAAAGTAAAAAACCCGGCATATTTGATCGAGATTTCCGAAGAGCAAATCCGGTTCTACCGTCAATAAATACCCCTCAACCTGACATTTTTTCAGCGGCTCCTTGTAAACATTTCTAAAAAAAATGATTTTCAATTTTTCGATTCAAATTTCAAAATAAAATCCTTTAACACTATTAAGTTAAACAATGATGAATATTATCCAAATGGTTAATCTACCAGTCTTTGTTTAATGAGAACCAATTAACAAATTGAACCAAGTGATCTGCACTAACGTACTTCTGAACAACTGCAAACTGAACTTATTTTTAATTCAGTTTTTGTTAAGTTAAATAAAATAAACCTCAGAACGAGAAGTTGTTTGTGGAGAAATATCAGTTCACTATGAAATAACTCCCACACAGCTTGCAAGCGCTTTTTATCTATCGATTCCAAATTTTCCACATTAACAGAAAATATTTCTTCCCACTTTACCAGCTATAAAGTGTCGAACGAAGTTTCGAGATCTCAATAGCAATGAATTTACGATTCCATTGGTTATAATTTTTAGTCAATACTTCTCCTTAACATTTTTTTTGCATATTTTTATGATAAAAAGAAAATTGTAATGTTCACGAAAACGTATGCTACAGTGAACTGAAATCTATAATTCTTCAAGTAGCGGTCAAAACTACTTACACATACTAAGCATAAAATTTAAATATTCATGAATTTCAAATTTTTGAAAATTCCGTTTTTTTGAAATTTTATTTGATTTTTTACCATTATTGACATTATATAATTCATGTAAAATCTTTACTAAATTCGGGGAGGGAAAATGCAAATCATATATCTATTTAAAGTTAAATATTTTTCATCTACGAAAGGATTCATAGAGTTCCCGCGATATCTTAGTGTCATTGTTTATTTAAAATTTCAACAACTCTGCAATTTACGAGTAATTTTTCCAATTCCTCATCATCAAATTCAGGATCGCCGGATGTTTCCAAAGCCGCCTGTACATGCTTCGTTATTTCGCGCCTTTTGGCTCGATGTGACCACTCATACTGAAAGAATGATAAATTCCGTTATTGATTTAGTCTCTGTATGCCAAATAAGCAAGATGGTGTTTATTAGATTTGAATATCAAGAGACTCATTTTCAAGTCCTTTTACCTCCTGGTCTCATTTGTGGCCCATAATCCTTTTTTTGCTTTTTTGTGACGACCAATAAGATTCATCATCATTAGTTCAAAATTCAAAAGTATTTAAATCTATTTTTTTAAGAAAAAAAACAAATTTGGATCAAAGATAATTGTTTTCAAAAGCATACCAATCTTTTCAGAATCCATGGTGATCTGGTCTTTGATTGTTCCTTTGCATCGGCATAAAATGCTTGGGTTGCAATTGTCGCCCTTTGTAAGTCTGCATTTTCAAGATGTCAAATTCTTTTATCTATGATAGTATTGGAAACTCTGATGAGATTAAATTAAACCTTGTTAGTTGAATCAGATGGCTAATTAAACTCGTTTCTCATGTGCACTTTAAGTAACATATCTATTAATACATGCAAGTACTATGTACGTTATCTTTATTAATTTTGCTCAGCTGCATCCGAATATCAAATATCACTATCCGGATTGTAAAAACCAAGTTTCATTATCCGAATCATAAAAACCGAATCCGGCTAATCTCAAGAATTCACTCGGTGAACCATAATTTTCAGAATTTTCCCTACGATGGAATATGTTTGAGGATTCGAAGATATAAGTGCTAATGTTGAATGACTCTTCTTATAATACATGGGTTGATGTTAAAGGTCATTGAGTCTGAAATACTCACTAGCCAATAATCCACCTCCAGAACTGATTGCCCGATTGAAAAGTTGTGAATCATTTGGGGATATCTTCAAGTGTGGTACAATAATTACATTATCTGAACAGCCTTCTGTGTCAGCACTATAAAACTTACGATATTTTAATTTTCAATCTTTTCATGCAGAATGTCAGAAAAAATATAAATTTGCAAATTAATCAAAAATTTACGACAAACAAGTTTCCACAATATTACAACATGTAACAAAGAGAGAAAGTGTTGGGCATAATCGGTGATAATACATTCTTAGCAGATAGCTAATTTCATGAATAAAAGAAAACGAAATTAGGTAAGAAAATTTAATAACTGAGAAATGGATATGAAAAGTGGAGATATTTTACAGAATAGATTCTTATTCATCTTCTCATCCTTCATCATCTGGATGAAAAGCGAAAAGCATGCTTGGAAGACTTACTCATCTTGTTGGATACTTGGCTGTAAACAGATCAGAATATTAAACGGTAAATATTTTGATTGCTGTTGAAACTTTCCAAGGTATGAAGGATTAATGGATGAGTAAAAATTCTTAATGTCATACACACACTTGAATCAAATTCCTTTCTTTGGGATTACCCAAGAGGCCAAGTTTTGTAGATATTACCTCCAAACTTGATCTTCATTTTTCGAAACAAAATGATTCTCATAGTTGTGTGCTTCATTTTTATTGTAAATGTGCAGTTGGAAACTCGAGTAAATTAATTAGTAATCCTTACCTGCTCAGGTATTAGCGCATGCCGCCGAGTTAATTGTTCTTTGTTTGGATGAAATGTTTGAATTTCGGTGTCTTCTTGCTGCAACATTATGATTTCAATCATATTTTGATACGATTCAAAATTCATCACCGAAGATCTGTTTTCACATACCTTTTTTTTGCTTTTAATCATTTCGATCTTAGTCCTGGAAGATTAGCATTACTTTAAACAATGGTAAATTAAAACCTTTCACGTTTAAGTAACAAATGATTCTAATTTTTATTTCATGAAAAATAACAGTGTTTCAAGTAAACTCTATATACATATTTTTGTATATCATATTTTTAAATCATTTTATTTTTTAAACTTAATTTCTTTTTTATGATTCCAAAGTTCAAAAATAATCGACTTAATGTTAATTTTATTGCATATTTATGGTTGTTGTTTATTCCTGATATTTCTGTCCCGTTATATACTTCATCTACGTGAAAATCATTTTTATTTCATCTTCTAGCAATATCGTACTTTGTATCAATAATTAAACTTTTCTGAATGAAAAAAAATCATTTTGGAGAGTGTGAGAGATCAGAAAACTTTATGGCTCTCTTGAGAAATCACTCATTCATTCATCTCTTCACATTATAAACTATTATTTATAAGATATTTCGACTATTTCGAGCTAATAATTCTTTGCAATGGTGAAAACAATAGATTATGACACTACCGCTTGCATAAAGCTCTTCGAGCAGAAAAAAAAAAGAGTTTTTGCATTTTAAATTAGCTACTTATGGTGGATTTGAGAAGTACGGTGGCTTTCAGATGACAATTGTGAAAGAACAAGTGATAAAATGACTCTCTCTGACACTGTTTTAGAAGGAACCTTATATGTATATCATTATGATAAATTTAGTTCAACGTAAATGTAAAGGTATGGAGATTACTAAAGAGGCCAAGAAAGAGAAATCAAAACAAACTGGTTTTCACATAACACTGAGCCGAATAAAATTCCGGTTTTCAAATTTGTTTGGTTCAGTGTGCCTGGATTAAATGGAAGAAATGAGATTCTGTCACCATAAATCCTTTTCTCTTATCATTTATTATTCACAGCTATTTTGCATAATCGATTGAGTAATATGATGGAAAGCCTTTGATAATGAAAAAAGGGATAGGGAAATAAAGGGAAAAAGCGGAGTGAAGCAAATAATAAATAGATGTTTATTACGGTTAGTAAAAGAGTCAAATAATGGATGAGTTTGGATGACGCGGTTTAGATAGAGTTAAATTAATTTCGATTTTCATCGCAGAGGAAAAAACGAAAAAAAAGCCATGCGAATAAACTCGATACAACCAAACAATTTGAGGAAACTTGAGACAAGCAAAAAATGCAAGGAAACCCGGGATAACCAAACAATTCCCATAGAAGTAAAATTGTATGGTGGCAGGAAGTTTGCTGTATTATTTGTATTCTAGAGATTATTTTGCGTACATTATAGTCGTAATCATTTGAAAATCTATGATAGTCAATAAAATTCATGTTTCCAAAATGGGAATTGATTTCCTTATCGCTCTATCCGTAACTGATAATTCCACGTTCTTTTCCTCCGGTGAGAAATTAACTACTTCTTCGGTAAAGTTTCAAAATCTATGAATTAGACATAGGTTTGATTTTCAAATCAGATTAAGAATATTAAATCAAAGTTTAATTCATCAAATTACCAAATTGCTACCTTCAAAAAATATTCACCTAAATTTAAAGTTGTGAAATTTGTGAGAACAAATAACTTTGACAAGAAATGAAGCGCGTTAAAGTTGAGTATTTATAAAGCGTGAAATATGTCTACTACAGAGATAGTTCATTTCTCCTTCTGATTTGCCCCTCATCCTTGAAGCCTAGGGCTAATTATTTCCATTCAACTTGGCCATCAATGCATCTTACTAAATGAGCAGAAGGTGAGTTTTTCGAGAATTGTGCGTAATGAAAGCCTCATATTTCCTACTATTAGCGTCAAATATGTGAAGGTACTTTCAATTTTCTTTTTATCAACCGATATTTCTATAACTCCAATTTTGAATTCCTGGCATAAATAATGCTTGAAATAATAATCAGGAAAATTCTACTTGGTCATCGTCTTCACTATTTATGTGACTGAGTTTAAAAAAAAAAGAAAAAAGACTTGACATCGTCATCCAGAAGAAGTTTACTCAAACAGATTAATGAGATATAAAAGTTTTATTCATCAAGAAGTCATTTCCTATAATTAACCGTTCAATGAAATCTGAACTACTAATGAATTATTGGCAAGTTTAAAATTATGAAAGGCTTGTTTTCATTGTTCAAGTAACAGTTTTACATTAAAGATTGCAGAATAATAAGCAGCTATAGTAATTAGGCTTGTACATTTTATCAAGTGGAAATAGCTGCATTGAGATACACATGCTAGTCAAGATATAAATTATCTCAATTACTTTACCTTTATATTTTATTTTCTAATTGGGGGTAAAGTTTTAACGATTTCTGATCAACGAAATATCTCAACTTGCTATGCGATGCAGCTTGACTTTGACCTATTGTCATGACTTTTTTTTTGAGCTATTATATCCCGACCAGAATTCATCCTACCTATTATTCCAAACTTTAATTTCTTAATTTCTTGAAATAGCTGGACAGGAACATGTTAATTCTCTGCCGTTAGCCGGTAAAACTAACCTTCACAGAAGAAAAAAAATCAGCATTTTTACTTTCCACGACGACAAAAATGAAGGAGAGTATCGATTGTAGCGGTAGCTAATATTTTATTGCAGAAAGCCGGAAAAGAAAATTTGAAAATTTGGAAATTAGGACGAAATTTTCTTGAAAGACAGAAAGAGTAAAAATTTATTTCTTTCCTGGATTTAATTCTTATAAATAAAAATTATCGATCGTTTCTGGCTATTCTGAAATTTGCATGTCAAACTGTTATAGAAAGCTACAGAGACTTCAGCAATCATCAAATGTAATGTTTTCGAATAAACTATCAACTTTCATGGGAAGCCGAAGATTAATGGCTTAAAAGTTTGACAACTTTAGCCGATATATAAATGCTCGATTATATGCCATTTCACAAAAATTTTATCAACATTGATTCCTCTAATGATTCAAATGAGTACGATTGGTAATAGTTGAATTTCGATCAGAAAAGTGAGAGTTTAAAAAAGGAGGAAATAAATGGTTTGTAAAATTTTTTTAGATGAATAGAGAAATTAATAAATCTATGAAAAATAGAATACTTTGAATTTGAATAAGCCAACAATGAGTTTTTTAAACTATCGTTTTTCTTAGCCAAGGTTGATTATCCTATTTTTGAAACTTTTTCGGAATGTAAATCCCCTCCTTTACCATTTGATAAACTTATAAAATCAATACCGTCCATCCTTAATTCGGAGCATCACCCAAACTATCAGCAATCAATTAAATATACTGAAGAAAATTGAGAAAAAAAAGCCGCTTTTCAAATGTCAAGAATACATCTTTGGAAGATACTTAAATTCTTTTGTAATTTTCCGTTTCTTTTACTTTCTTCATGCTTTTGCATTTTAATCCGTTTCTTCAGAAACATACCACGCAAAGTGAATGTAAATAAAAGAATACAATCAACTAGGGATAATTATAATCTGAAGGACTTAGACTCAAATTTTATGACGAATTTGAATTTCAGAATATAAAAGAAAAATGAAAATTCATTTGAAAAAATAAAGTAATGGAGAGTACAGCTAAAGTAAATTTGGGATAAAATGCTAATTAACTAATTAAAATAACATAAGTCTGAGTTAGCTGGCCTAGTGCTCAACAACTAACAAGTAGGATTCGGATTTATTTGCATAAGCAAATTATGCGTTGTCGAACAAACAAAGTGAGTCCTCAAATTAATTATCATTTTAGTATGAAATTCAATGAGGAATGAGGACTAAGTCTCCATCATATTTTAAAAGATACTAATTTAATCAAGCAATCAAATTTCTCATCAGCTATCAATCAATTGTCAGTATATTGGTATTTACATCTTAAATGATTTTAAATTTGATCAAAAAATTGATTATGATATCATAAATCAAAATTTGTGGGAAATTTTAACAAAGAATTAATAATTTTACAATGAAAATATAATTTAACTCGACTTTAAAAATCAATAATCAGAAACTTACATAAAAAAAAAGGTTACCTGTTTCAATAATGAATTGCCACGTAAATGATGAAATAAAGCAAGCGATGAATCACCCATAACAATGTTCTCGTGGATTAAAATGAAAAATTATTTCTGCGAATCAAATGAAATCATTTTTTCAATTTAATTCGAAATTGTTAACGGTGCTAAAAAAGAAGAGAAAAATGAAATGATGGAGTGATGGTATGTTTAATAATTGAACGGATGACATGGAACGATTAAAAATGGCGATAAATTGATGAGAGACGACATCATGTGGGATATGTGACAATCTCATTCTCATGTATTATTTTTATGGGAATATGCGGATGATGCCACCACCGGTTGTCACGGACAGGTTGCTTGATCCAGTTGTATAGATGAGGAAAGGACGGTGAAAGCTTAGTATTAGCTTGACCTCACCTTTGAAGAAAAAAAGGAATTAGGTTAAAATTTTGGAAGGAAAATGTTGAAAAATTAAAATGCAGTATCGCTGAATGAATTTCGGATATTCAATTCGATGGAGTTTTGCTTTTGTAGTCAGATTTTGATCAAAATTTCAAAAATTTCAAAGTTTTTATAAAATTCAACACTTGAACGCTTTTGAAAACAAAATTCTTCACACTTTTCAAGTGAATAAAATAATTTTCAATGAAAATTTCAGATGAAATTCAAGTGTTTTAAGTGAAGAAAATTTTTTAAGAAGAAAAAGATGATCAGGTGAATAATATTATTCACGCACAATTAACGGTGATATTAAATGATTCAGGAAAAAAAAAACCATACTTTCCTCGTATAGATAAAGCTCGTATAGAAGGCCGAACATTGGCAATGTTGATTTGTAGGCAAGTCTTAATGTTTTTATAACATCAAGGATATGTTAATTTTGCTACAATAGATAAGGTGGCATTGAAATATTTCGGAAAATTAATTATATATGGAAGTTATTACTTTAAGTTACAAAGAATTTTACTGGAAATACAAGAAATTATTTTCATAGTATTCGTAATATATCACTGATAATTTATCAGTACAATTTTATTATTGCTTAAATGATAACTTTTTATCAACCGAAAACAGCATGCTATCAGAGCTTGATAAAAGACAACAACACTTTGCGATTAAAAAACTACCAAACAATCATAGATGAAGCTCATTTTTTATGGGTAAACTTTGCTTAATTTACCTATCAAGTTATTCTAAAATTAATCAATATCCAGTTATTTGTTGTAAGCTTTGCAATATTGTGAGAAATAAACATTAAAAATAAACCTTATCAAATAAGCTCTATGCTTCCTGATCATATAAGATTGTCTCAAGTACCTTATGATGAGCTTCATTTTTGATCCTTAATCTGTTAAGTGACAAAAGAAATAGGAATCTCAAATGAAGTTTATTGTCTCTTTAGGTGACACTTTAATGGAAACAATTCTTTTTACGCGAAACCTTTGATAACCATTTGTCCAATAAAAACTTTTGCGCACTAACTTGATAAAATTTTCATTTACCTAATGTATCTTTTTTACATATTTAGCAACAAATTACTTTCACTCCTTCTTCAAATTTAAAATTTGTATGTGTGTGTATGTGCATGTATGTGTGCGTATGTGTGTGTATGTGTATGTGTGTGTGTATATATATATATATATATCTATGTGTGTGTGTGTGTTTTGCTTTCACTGATTTATAGAAATAGCACAAAAATTGGAAAACTTTTTCGATATGTAGAAAATTGCATATATATTTTTCTTAATATTAACCAAAATTTGTCAAAAGGCTGTCTATCTTTTAATATAAACAGAATACAGAACACATTAATTTCGCTCTATTGCATTTTAGCAAAATCCATTATTGCTAACATAGCCAGTTAAAGTGGGAAAAATTGTTAGCTTTTTAAGTTAGAAAAGAAACACGTTGCGCAATCGCGTTATTTTAAAATGCAAATTGCATTCATCTGAATAAATCAGGTTCACAAACGATAACTAATTGGAATAATAATTAGAAATTGACCAGAATCAATAAATGGCGCTTTGCAATCTTCAAGCAGCACTTTCAACATCTAATATTAAATTTAAAATTTTTCATTTTAATCTTAAATAGGATTAAAATGAAACACAGGACACGATTTTCAGAAATATTTCAATTAAATGAATTGTCAAAATCAAGCATCACATGGAATTGTGATAATGAACATAATAATGCTTGCTATATGCGCGTAGAAATTACTAACTTCTGGTAATTCTAATTAAATTACTCATTTCATAATTGACGAGACATTGGAGCCTTAACTTTCTATTGGAATGACTTCGTTAAACTATCAAATCTAATAAAATTTACAAATAATTTTTCAACATTTTTATTTTCATACGAAGAAAGAAAAAAAGATTTGCAAAGGCTTTCGTGATCTTTCAGATTTACAGGATGACTTTTTTTGCATAATGATTACAGTTTTTTCGGAAGTAAACGGCAGAGAAGAGAAGAAGGAATCGGTAGACTGATTCTTAAGCCAATCCGTTTAATTCAGGCCATATTACTGAAATGATTCAACTCATTTTACAGGCCAACACCAATCTGTCATTGCAGTATTTTGAAAGTTGACATATTCAATAGTGATGAATAAATATACGCTGAAATGAAAGAATAAACAAAATGTCTCAATCAGATGGACAGAGAAACGAATGGTTTATTGTTTATGGATTGCAAATAACAATACGAATTGATAAGTAAATTCGTGTAAGCACTTACATCATTATTCGTGTATAGCGCTTCATTTTCCATTTTAATTCCTTTTTTCCCTCTCTTTCAAAAGAAAAAAGGAAAGGAGGAATGAAATGGAAGAAGAAAAGATAAGAGAAAAAAGATTAGAAAGGAATATATAATTTTTAATTTCAGGTTAAAGAAAGCCTTGAAGTCTTAAATTAAAAGTTGTTAAAGGAAATATACGATGATGAAAGAGTTTTCAAATTACTAATGTTGAACAATGTATTTAGTCATTTCAAAAATGAAATATAACAGTTATATCTGCATCCAATGATAAATTGACAAATTTCCTCTCAGTGGATTAAAATGTCATTTGAAAAGAAAAAAAAAAAAGAAGCGAGAGAAGGAAAGAAAGATGAAATGCTTACGTAATTAACTTTAAAAAAATGACAGTATGCATTAGGATGACGTTGAAATCACGTCATTCATGCAATAAAAAAATGATGAACTTGTGAGAAGACATTTTCTCTCCTTTGTTTCTAATTTTATAAAATTTCCATTCTGAAAATACACACTTAAAGTTAGCTAATCCTTCAATTTATTTACTGAAACTTGGCTTTTGACGGTCCACTGCTTGGCTAAAAAATTGTATTGTTATGAACAAAGTGTGTTCCTATAATTATCCATATTAACGAGTTACTGATTTGGCCGAATCGAAACTCGTTTATTAGTTTTAATGCAAATTTTGGAAGTAAAACTTTGAAATGCGTTTATTTTCGCAGAATATATTTTTTATTATCTACTTACAAAATGAGTAAGTCAATCATTTTTTAAAAATTACCATGATTACCGGAAGAAAACCGAACAAAATTTTGGAAAATTTTCAATTTTCGAGATTTTCCAAAAATTCGGATTCCTGACTTTTGCAAAAAAAAATCGATTTATTCAAATGAAATTTCAAAAATTTTGCATTAAAGTTACAAATTCATTTTAATTTGTTATCCATTCTTGCTTACCGGATTGGATTAATTACTAAATTACCGCATTGAATCAAAATTGAAAAAGCAAAACTGAACAAGAACCAAATGAACCAAAAGGTCTTTTACAATAAATGAGACAACTTTCAAATTTCTTGCAGATAAATATTTAAGGACAATAATATATTGCGAATTGGAATGAAATTTATCCCGGAAGTAAATTAGTTTGATCACTTTGACCATCTAGTGACTAATTAATGCTTGAGGTCATTTTTTGCTGTTCTAAACTCGAACTGTCAGTAAACTTACTATCGGATTTATTACATTTGGAAATACTACAATTATTAAACTCTTCCAGAAAATCTATAACTTCATGAAATGAAAATGCAAAAAAAAAAATTATCCCAAATCATTTCAAAAATGTTCATTGTACTTTCATTTGCTATTTTGTTGGAAAGATTTGAATATAAATCCATAATTTATTTGAAAATTTTATCGGTTTTAACTTGAATTTTGGATTGTTTCAAGAAGAAAAAAAAGTGGATTTGAGAGAGTCCGTTTGATGAAATCAATAATTCTTGAAGAGAGGAGAAAAAACACAAGTACTGAAAGTTTGATAGCAGAAAAATTGGTATTCATTGAATAGCTCTTCTCAAATTCTCTTCAATATACTCATTTTAAAACTTTGTATTTAAGTTTTATAATTGAAAAAAAATAAGGAATAAATGAAAAGAGTTAACATTCATATGGTATAGTTTTAGTATGCAAAGATTCACAAAGTACTGAAAGTGTAAAATGCCTTAGGGTTGATGGATAATCCATTCTAAGCTGTTCTGCACTTTTCCTTGGAACTTTTTTTTTTTATAATGTTCCTTAGTAATATAATGAAAAACACAGATGTTCATTTTCCGTTTTCCATTTTGATTGAAACTGAAAACATGTTAAAACGCCTGGCAGTTTTGAACGAGTAAAATTGCTATCAATATTGTAGAATTGAAATTAACGATCGTTCATGACAAAAGAAAAAAGACAACAAACAAAAAGGTCTGATTTCATCGTGATCTTATGAATTGATTTCTTGTGATTGAACAAAGCAAATGAAATATTTGAAACTTAAGAACGATACTGATAAGATGATAAGATTCTAAGCTTAAGCTATATGTGTAATGAATGAAAAATCTTTGGATGTCTTTTTTCTTCGTCAAAAAAAAATTTTTCAAGTGGTAGAAAAGATAAGGTTATGTGCAAAATACGCTCAAAAAAAAATTGTCTATAGAACTGTTAGGAGTAAAAGAAAACAAATTTAATTCGAAATTTTTGAAGCGATAATGTTAAAGTAAAACTCAAAATTCTAACTGAAAAATATCCGGAAGTAAGCAAATCAGCATCAAAGATCCTTTTAAATAATAAGCCA